CACACACACACACACACACACGTACACATGCATACACACACACACGGTCCTATTTCTTGTCATTCTTTTCATTTTAAATTGGTACAAGTGAAATGTCAGATGAACTCGTATTTTCTATTATTAAAAACAAATAATAACAGAATTAGTCAGCATGACTAGAATAGATTAGAAATAAAGACTAATTTATGGAATTTTCAAAAAAAAAAAAAACTTAGAAATGATAAAAAAAATCTAAATACGAGTATGATGCATGTAATCGTGCAAAAATGCTGAAATTTTCTTTTATCTTTCCTGTTGTTAATTCCACTTTTCCATTCCATCACTGAACTTTTTCTTTTAATTTTTCATTCTTTCTAATGGCGAATTGACCCATACGTTGGGATGGAATTACTGAATTAATTCAATTGTAATTTAGTTTTATTAAAAAATATTACAGAAAATGACTAGAAATATTACGCAAAATATTTTCACTCTCAAAATTTAAGCGTCAGAAAATTGACATTTTATGAAACACCATTATTTACCACTATCTTTATCAGATCAACATTCTTTGTTTGATATGATAAAGACTGGAAAATTTGATGACATTTAATACAGTTATCATTTCTAACAAATTTTGAGTTTCGTGACATTTTTCCGATTTGAAATAGTTAGGATATCATATCACAGATTTCATTATTTCATATTGTCAAAAATTGAAAGGATTGTTTAAATTCATGAAAGGGAATAATGAGTTGTATAAGATAATAACCAAACAACCAGATTAAATTTGGGTGTAATTACGGAAAGACAATGATAATTCCGTTACCAGTCAAATATCACTCACTATCTTTCATAATACCATATCACATCATCGTCTGCAAAAATTAATCAAATTTAAACGTGACAGAGGAAGAGAAAAAGAGAGAGAAAAAAAGATGAAATTTTGGTACGCATTTGTATGATACCTTTTAAACGACATCTCTCAATCTTGTCAATCTTCTTTAATGCGTATTTGTTATAAATGATACGTCCAAAATTCTTTTACCATAATTTCACAAAGGAAAATTTTGGAAATGATAGAATTATCTTATTCGTTTTATTTTTATTCATCTTTCTAAAACAGTAGTAGCAATTTTAATAACAACAATAATCAATTGAAGATGAAAAAGATAATTTAATGAGTTAATTGGTATTATATTTCAGGATTACTTCTTCATACTCTCCTACTACTCATAATTTTTAATTTTTTTTTTTTTTTGATCAATCATTCCTCTCTGTTACACCATTTCATTCGACCTAATTAATTTTAAATTCTCTTTTCATCCTTTCTTTTTTTTCCATTCATTTTGTTCATTTTTTGTTTTTATCCATAATCATTAAGGAAAAAAAAAAACTCATTTATTTCGTTCTTTAATTTATTTGGAAATTTTTTCAGAAACTGTACAATTTATTGTCTCAGTTTTATCACTACATTGTTATCATCAGTACGAATCCGTTCGATACGTCACATCAACGTATCAATTGATTAATAACGATTATTGTTCAACTTTATCAACATTAGATCAACCACGATGAAATTCAATTTTTTCTTACTTCTTCTGTTCGCCATTGTCACTGATGCAGAAGGTTTGTTTTCCAAAAAAAAAGGAAAATTTCTAACCTTGTCTTATTGGATTAATTAAAACTGAGAAGGGAATGATATAGTGACCAGCAGAGCGTTTTATTAATCTCATATTTTCCAAAAACTGTTTCAATTGATTCATTTATCAATAAGAAGTTAAAAGAACTAATTAATTCTTTAATAGCTTAATTTAGTCAATTTAGTAAATGATTCATTTTTAATCAACGATTTTTCATAAATCTTCTGCTTGAATCTATTTTAATAAAAATTTTCACTTCCATACTCCATCTTGCACTTCCTAAATTTTCTAATCAGTCTATCACTCCAATTACTTTTAAATGAAATGTTGATTTATTGAAAGAGTAAACTTACCGCACTTTTCTGAAACCTTTTAACTTTTTTTTAAAAATTTAATTCATTATAAATTTTGGTGTTTTTTTTGCTTAAGTTTTTGTTTCACATAAGTTTTTATGCTGAATATGTAAAGTATGAAAAAATATATATTTAAGTTTAAATCTTACACTTAAAAGTCGGAAAACAAGTTCAATTATTCTTGACCATATAGCCTAAATGATTCTGCTAGCAATTGGAACTTAAATGAATTTAAAATTAGCAAAAAAAATGAATGGTTTTTAATAACCTCAAAAATTTGTAAAATGTTTAATCAACGCATTTAATATATAAAGCCATTTGAAGAAGTTAAAAATATAACATATTTTTTTTAAAAAAAAAAAAGCAATTTGTTTCATTCATAACTATCAAAAAAGTTCCAAAAACTTTGCCAAAAAAGTTAAAAAAAAATTCAATTTAAGTGCAAACATTTCAATATGTCGAAAAATTATTCATAATTGATAGAATTCTATGCAATGGATAATTAATCATTACTGAAGGCATCAAATTATTTGTTTCAAATTTCCAAAAGAACAAAAAAAATTAAATTAGATTAAGATTAGTGAGAAACTAACATAAGCCATTTATGTTTGGAATCATTCTCAAACGACGAAACTCAAAAATATCCATTGAATTAATAATTACCATTTATTTGCTTGAAGTTATTTCTCTTCCAATTGATAATGTTTGTTGATTATTCAAATTGAATTTCGAAAAGCTCAAATGATGAGAATTGAATTTAGAAACAAATAAGATTTGTTGATTGTTAAGAAAAAGAAAACAACATGAAATTAATATATGTTTGATTATTTTCAAGTTTGTTGGATATTTACTGTAAAATATAAATGAAAAATTTGATAATTGTTGCACTAATCTCTCATAGGAATAAATTTTTTGACTTTTCACTCTCCTATACATATATAACGAATTAAATTTCATTTTCTCCTCAAGAAGTATTAATTAAGTAATTAATAGACATAACAATTTTCTTTAGAATGGATGATTTATTAGACGTAACTGTAGTGCGTGCGTGATTACATGACAGCAACTTACGTAATTTAATTTAACACATTTTAAACCATGATAAATTAAATTAACAGAATGATTTTGAAACGTTGCTGTAAAATTTAGTAAACAACAAATTTTATGAACATAAACATTTGGATAACGATAGAAAAACAGAAAGGAGCAATCAAAGCGGGTCAAAGATTTAAAAACTGTCAGATATTTGTTGTAGTACAAAATTATTGCAGTGATATTTAAGTAATAATAGAACAAATGCCTATTGCATAATTATCACTGTTAATATGTCGAATTATCTTAAAGCAATCAGAAATTCATTTAATTTTTATTTATTTTAGATCTATGCAATAATGATAAAATCGATTCATTTTTTTTGCAAAGTATCGAGTTAAGATCGATAAATTTAGCAGTTAATGAATTGCACGAAGCAGCTAGCATCGGGGATTTATTAAAGGGTGCATTGGGAAATCTTAGAGAAAATTTACATCAATATTCGATTATAGTATCATTGCAAAATATTCCGTTATCTTTAATTGAATAAATCAATAATTACTGGTCGGTGTTCTTTTTCGCTTTAATTACAAAAAAAAAAAAGAATTATCGTTTTGGGATCAATTAATAACAACATTTTTAAGATTGAAAGAAAGATCTCAAATTAATCATTTCTGATTTTTCTCTCAACTAATAATTATTTACTTATTTACAATAACATTTTATTCCTATCGCTCTTTTTGCTCTTTTCATCACTTTCAAATTTCATTCAAAATTTTCCAAGTGAAATGGGATTTTTTAAACTAATGAGCAGAAAAACATGTGTCAAAATTTTACTCCAATACTTGCTAATAGTAATATAAACTTTTTTTTTCTGATTTATATTTGATTAAATTATGCTGTATGACTAATTATGAATTCTATCATTTAATTTGGTCAGAGAATTAATTTGATCCAAATTTATGGACATTTTAAAATATAGTTAAAGCATTCTACACTGATGTTAATATTTCGATAAAGAATGTTGAACTATCAAAATTTCAAATAAATTTAGGTGCAGCAGTTAACGAAAACAATGACATCGACTTGGATAATGACAGACTGCTTTCATCATTTTTGAATAATATAGACGATTATGATGGTATCAATGCAAACGATAAGTCTATTACATTTGTCAATGAATCCTCTGATATCCCGAGTTCCACCGGGAAAATCTCTTCTACATTTGATAAAATCGAAGAATTGGAAAACAATACCAAATCAAACAATGATATCACATTTATCAAACAATCAAATAATAGCACCATCACTACGAAATCCATCAAAAATGGTACCGAAAAACTGATGAGAAAGAATGTAATGAAAAAATCAACAATACATCAATTTGAAAAATCTCAGCGAGCACTTAATGAGAGCTTTCTAGAAGAATCTGAAAAAATCTCGAAGATTATTTGTCATGATAGTCGAAAATTATGCAAATTTTGGGCATTCATTGGTGAATGCATTACAAATAAGAAATGGATGGAATCTAAATGTCCGGTTTCATGTAATAAATGTCAAAGTAAGCAATTTCTCCTTTTTTTTCTCTCTTTTTCAATCTTATCAATAATTAGATTAAATGAATTATGAAAGGATGGAATATATTTGTTTAGAACCTCGGTATGCAACGTATCCTAATGGTATCAAATATATAATATTTGCTACCGATAATGCTAATTTAAATCGTTGATATCAAATAAAGCTATTATCTTATTTTTTTAAAGTTATTCATTTATTACAAACAACAACCAACACTATCATTCTTATTTCTTTATCATTTCTACATTTTAAAACCTTTCCAAAAGAACCGCTTCTCAATTTCATCTATTTGAGAGAAAAGCATGAAATAATATTTGATTGAAATTCGTCCTTCTCATCATTTGGAACATTTTGTTAATTTAGTAGCATTGAAAATTTCACGATTTTCTCTGTACTTACTAATCATTTTTCTTAAAGAATTGCTTTTCCATTTCTTCTTGCCATGATCAGAATTGAAATTCATATGAAAATCTAATTTAAGTGTAAGTTTGATATTAAAACTCGGATCGATCATTTTTACACCTAACAATCAATGACATAAATAAGCAAATTCACAGTGAATATGTCATTTTGCACAATTTGTTCTGCATTCATTATTTTTCGGAAAAAAATTTGATTCGGTCAAGAGGACATTTATTTTTAGATAGCCGCGACAATAGAAAACTTTTTGTTCTCTTTTTTCGGTTTTTTTTTTGTTTTTTTCGAAGACACAATTTTTAACCATTTTAAAGAAAAATGATTGTATATTTAAGAAATCAATGAATTTGATCAATTTATTTGTATTTATAAACACATTAAATTATACTTAAATTATATTTGTGCATACATTAAATTTTTAATTTTTGATATAAATTTTCGAAGAGAAAATTAATCATTTCTTTGCATGCATTAAAATTTAGCGAAAAGATTATAAAATGACAAAAAAGATTTAATAGATGAAACAATTCTTTTTGATTTCTGACGAAATAAAAATTAGCAATTTTTTTGCTACATTTTAGCAAGGTATGTCTGAGTAATTTCAATTATTTAAAGATCGGCAAATTTTTTCATTATGAAGAAACAAAAATAAAATATAGAAGTGAAGAGAAAAAAATGGTTTATTTATTTAATTTTTTACAATAAATTGCTAGAACAAAACATATATGAAATTTTACTAATTGATCAATTCGGTCATAAATTACTAAAATTTTTATTAAAATAAGAAACTTTTCCTTTATAAAACCATAAATTGATCATCAAAACTTTTTTTTGTAGATTTTTTTTCTGAACTTGCAATTATTTTTATAAAATGAATGCATGCCAATAAAATTGCATTGAATGATTTTTTTTTTGTATTTTGCTAACATAAATTTTAATTAATTAATAAATTGACTTGCTTAGTTACTGCACAATGCACGAATAAGCATGCATTGTGTACACTTTGGTCAGCCAATGGTGAATGTGAAATGAATGCAGTATGGATGCATGCCAATTGTCCTCAATCATGCATGCTCTGCAATGGTACTCATTTTAATTCGAGTAAGTTTCAATGATGTAATTTTAATTTACACCCTAAGTTATCTTTCAAGCGAATAATACCATATAAATTAGCAAGTGTTAAAATATTTTAAAAAAGCAAAATAAAAAAAAGAAACGAAACATTGTTATATTTCTAAATTATATTTCTATTTATTATCGCATAAATTTATGCTAATATTTGAAGAAAGAAATTAAATTTGAGATCATAATTTGTTAAAATTATTTTCTCTCTACTTTTTAAAATTCTATTACTTTTTACATTCATGAATTTGATGGTTAAATTTCTTGTTCTTTTTACAGATCAAATCAAAGATTTTAATTTTTTGCCACAAAAAAAGGAAGACTGCCCTGTTATAACTACAGAAGGTTGAATTTATTATCGAATTATTACAAATGCAATATTTCTATTGTTCAAAAAAAGCTATCCACTTTTTCTAAAAAATTTAATTAATTTGATAAATAAATTTTTGAAAAAAAATTTCCAGATACATCAACACGTCATACAATATCAATTATTGATGTGCGCAAAAAGAATGCTCGATTTGGATGCGTTTCACAATTGGATCAAAATAATTGCAAACAAAATTTATGTTATCATCTTCGATTTCGAACTTTTGATGGTACATGCAATAATTTACAATCACCACAAAATGGAGCCGCTTTTTCACCGTATATTCGCCTGGAAAAACCGCGATATGATAATGGAATTAATGCTCCAACATGTGGGCTTATCAATCAATTCAATTTTTGCAAGAAATTTTGAGCAGAAAAATAAAAAAATTTTTTTTTCTTTTGATCAATGCAAGATATATATTATTGACATTGCTAAAATAGCAATTTAAATATATTTTTGATCATTTGGTTCCATTTGATTGGTTGGGCTCATTTATTTATGAATGGGAGTTGTTTTTTGGAAATGAAGAGAACACGAAGAATTTGAGATAATTTCATGTTTCAGACGAATAAAATCAAGTAAATACATATTCAAAAGACCAGCAGATTCTCTTTGTATTGCAGCATCAATTCGAAAAACGCGGCCGGTAGCACGAGAAGCTTCACGTTTAATGCTCACGTCAAATATGCAAGTTAGTGTATGCTGGACAATTTGAAATAATTCATTTTCAATAATTAAACTAACAATCAAATATTTAATTCATTTAAATTTTTCAAATGAAAAGTTTGATGATTTGAAAAAAATTTTTTTCCTCGCCTACCAATTTATTATCATTTCATAAATTACAATAATTATTCACAGAGAAAAGTCAAAATGATAGTATAAAGTCAAAAGAGGCATGAAGTGAATTTTCACTCACTTCATCTTATTTTGTAAATTTTGTCACATTTTAAATACTCAAAAAATAAAATTGAGATTAAATTCTAATTCTTCCATACAAATGTTAAAATATTTATGTCAATTTTCTTCAATTTTAATAAATTACTAGTCATACTAAATAAGTAAAGAATTTGAATAAATCGATTTAAAAAATGATAATTTAATTTTTAGGTAACAAGTGATTCAAATGCTTTATTGATGCAATGGGGCCAGTTTTTAAGTCATGACATGGCCAAGACAACAACTCTGAGCAATCGGGAATGCGCATCATGTCAACCTAATTCTAAATGCACCAATATTTTCTTATCAAGACATGATCCTACGTAAGCTTCCATCATTTTTTTTATGTAAATATTTCATCAAAATAAAATCGGCATATTGCACCTTTGAATTTTTGTTTTTATTTAACTCATAG